CCAATGTTGAGGGAAAGGCCTAATTCTGATTGTCTACCAAACATACAGAAAGGTTCCCTCCAATGGGTTTGCTCCTCTGGACTGCAGCGAACATTCCAACCCCACGCTAGTGCTCACTGGGCTGTACCTATAGCCACTTTCTATGGCTGTTTTCCCAAAGCTCATAGTTTTCAGCTCCTTTGAGAACTGGACTGTGCAGGTACCCTAGAACGGAAGGTGGACCCATCCTGGTCTAGCCTCTGCCCTGACATCTGGGCAGAATGAATGTATGATTTGCTTCAAGTCAAAGATGGCAAAGGTGACAGGAAGTCATTCTCGTAATTACTTCTGTGATACATGACTCCTGATCAGCAGGAGTTTTCTCTGAGGCAAGAGAGTCTCCTGTTGCCTTTCACTAGATTGACATGTTGTAAAATGATTTATGAGAGGTTCACAGGCCAAGAAACTCTGGGAGGTAGCAAGCTACCACTCTGGAAGAGTGGTGACCAGCAGTCAACAAGGAACACAGACCTCAGCCAGCCCAACAGTAAGGAAGTAAATCCTGCCAACAAGTATGCGTCCCTGGAAGAGACCACCAAGCACCAGGAAAGAGTGCAGCCCTGCATGTGAGATCTAGAGAGAGGATCCAGTTACATCATGCCCGTATTCCTAGCCCACAGAAATATGAAATAATACATATAAGCTGTTTTAGGGCTGGGGAGATAGTTTAGTGGTTTAAGAGTTTGATCCCTGGTACAAAAAAAAATTAAAAAAAATATATATATAGTTTTAAACTACTACAAATGTGATCATTTATTATTCAAAAAAGGAAAACACAGGCACTGGTTATCGTATGCCAACAGACACTTACCTAGGAACTGACCATTCAGATGTCTGCTAATTATTTGAATCATCCTACCTTTTCCTTCCAATATGGAAATACATTTTCAAACCATAATAATGTCTGCTCTCTTAGAGCCACTCATATTTTAGGTCACAGAATCTCAGTGAATTTTCCATTGTGAATTTCCAGATTTTGTGCCCTAATTCTTCTTACTATGCTTCTCTTCAATTCCATCTTCTTCCACCTTTAAAAATAGATGCTTACAGTAGAATTCCTCTTATAACAAGCCTCCCAAAGGCCAAACTACTACCCCTGCTTGAAGCCCAACAACTGGAGGAAAAGCAGTAAATTGAGCAGAAGTATTTTCTAAGCTTAAGCTAAGTATAGTTTTAAAAAAAGAAAAAAAAAGGGGGCTTTTCACTGTCAATGTCTCTACTAGTCCTCTCCAGTGTATTAACATGAACTAGCACCAAGGCGGGCATATAACATAGGTAGGCCCTGTATTTCACGTCAGACACACCCAAATAAGTTTTTGAAAATACAGAAACTAGTTAAGAGAAAACAAGAAAAAGAGCAAGCAAAGATACTATAATCAGAGAAATTTGATATCGCTGAGCATAAAACATGGGAAAAAGTAAGCAAATCTGTCATCAAGTCTAGTCATTTATCAGAGGAAGGCCACACTAGTTTTGCCAGACTCATGTGAAGTGCACCCTTTCCTATCCCTGGCGTGAAGGCCACCAAGGCACTTTGTCATTGTTAGTTTCAAACTCAAGAAGTCTGATGGGTGACACACATATGCCAGCTGCTGGAGAAGGCAGTGTCTCACTGCCAATCTGTGCCTGTTGTGCAGTTGTTACTCTGTGATTACACCCACAACACACTGAGGACCAAATCCTGAAACAGCAAGCCGCAGATCTATGGGGGCTCCTGAGGTAAGCCAAGGGCCTCAAAGGATCACCCAGGTCCTACAGCTAATATGGGAACTGAAGCAGCTCCTGACATCAGAACACAGTGTCTCCAAGTCCCTTCTAAATGTAACTAGAAAGAAAACTGCAAAAATAACTTTATTTTTACAAATATCTGCAAAAATAATCTAATCTGCATAACTGAATGAATCACTACATTTTACTGAAACTAAGATACTCATTATGAAACTCAATCTTTCATCTGTATGGAAAAACTTGTCAATTACAACTGGTATATATTAAATGGTAACTGACTGCAAGATATATCCCTTTTCAGACAAGTTTTTAAAAAACATGGGCAAAAAGTGTATCTTAGAGCCGGCTAAATAGCTCAGCAGATTAAAGCACCTGCTTAGGCAGACGCAGGGACTGGAGTTTGATCCCCTGGCCTGCCCTGCTGGCCCTGCCCTGGGGGCGTGCTGAGCCTGTGATTGAGACTAGGCATGGTGGCGCACGCCTGTAATCCCAGCACTTGAGAGGCTATAAAACAGGAAGATCACTATGAGTCTGATCTACACAGTGAGATCCTCTATATCCTGTCCTAAAAATAAAAATAATAATAATAAAAAGTGTATCTTAGGAGCAATGAAATGTAGCACCTACAAAAGTATTCTTTAAATACTTATTCAAAGAAAACACTGAATATAAATTATATTGTCATGAATTCGTAATAGCACAATAGAGCTATTTATCATTCTTGTTACACAGATAACTTAAAATGAAGAATGGGTGGTTCTAGCACACATCTTGTAAACTTAAAACCCATTAATTTTCTCAACTTGGAACTCATCTCGTTTTTGCTTCTAGAATCAAAGATCACAAGTTGAGATAAATGAGACGTATGTTAGTGATGCAACACACCCAAAGGCAGTCATCTCTTGAAGCCAGGGCCACTTCACGTTCTCTTCAAAGAAATATAAATGGAAATAAGCCTTGGCATTTCTTTGGTTAATCATACAAAAAATGTAAAGCAATTCATAAAAGCATCTATTTCCAAGGATGCTCTTTCATGAAACAACTCAACCCAACTTCCTAGCAGAGTATGGATGCTCGGGCATTTCCTCAGCAAACCACTTCTCCATAGTTTTGCTCTATTAGAACTATAGTAACTCAAAAAAAAAAAAAAAGTTTTCTTTGTATGCTGTGATAGGCGCAATCCATAAACTATTACCTACTCAGTCTTTTTTTTTTTTTTTTAACTGGGAAATAAAGTATATATTTAGAATTAGCCAGCTGGACTCAGTTTAGATGATCCCAATTTTGTTGGCAACATCCAATGCATTATAATCGGGAGCCAGTCGAACATATGCCGTCTTCTCTCCATCAGGCCTGACTAGAGTACTGACCTCGGCAACATCAATGTCATATAGCTTCTTCTTCTTTTTTTTTTTTTTTGGTGGTATCAGAGATTGAACTCAGGACCTTGCGCTTGCCAGGGAAGCATTTATTCCACTGAGCTATCTTCCCAGCTCCTTGTTTTTGTTTTTGTTTTTTTGGAGAGCTTCTCTACAGCTTGTTTGATTTGGTGTATATTGGCTTTGATATTCACAATGAACATGAGTGTGGTGTGGTCCTTAATCTTTTTCATGGCTGACTCTGTGGTTAGGGGGAACTGGATGATGGCATAGCCGTCAAGCTTGTTTCTCCTGGGGGTGCTCTTCCGAGGGCATTTGGGCTGCCTCCAGAGCTGCAGTGTCTTGGGATGGCAGAAGGTGGGCAACATTCGTATCTTCTTTTTGTGGCTGTGGATGCCTTTCAGCATGGCCTTTTGCTCTGGCTTCAGCTTTGGGAGGGGCAGGGACTTCCTTCTTTGCCTTCCTTCTTTGCAGGGACTTCCTTCTTTGCAGCGTCATCTTGGTAAAAAGGCTCCACCTACTCAGTCCTGTGCCAAACACTAGTTTTATAACAAATGCTACTGTATAAGACCAACTGGTATTTCAAAACTTCTAACATTTGTAACACATGGGCCAATAAAGCATAAGGAATATCTGCTAAAACTGCTCCAAATGGACTCCTTAGAAATGGCAGCTATTCAAGGAAGTTATTACATAATCCATCTCCTCCAGTGCTAGTCCGTTTTCTCCTAATCTCTGGCAAAGTATTCCACAAGAAAATCACCAATATCAAGTAGAGAACACTCAAACATCGTTGCACTTGAGTAAAACTAGTTAGACTCGTCAGATATGGGCTCTATCAAAATATTTCTAGCTGTATGAATGGCAGAAGGCCTCTCTGTAACATGCATATTAACAACTTCAAAATCCATTTCATTTTGTTTTTCTGCATCTTCTCCTTCAAGATCTTCTTCAAAGTCATTTAGCAAAGCTTTCTGGTCCTCACTCCTTCTGTTTTCTTTCTGTTGATGAGTCAGAGGTGAGGTGGCTAACTTATACATCACAGGAAATAATACAGCAGTGAATACTGCTGATCCCAAACTTGTGTACAGAACTACTGGCAATTTTGGATATTGTCCTTGGAGAATTCCAATTATTGCAGGAATAGCCATTTCTCCCAGGGAAGAACCAATTACAAAAAAAGCCGCGGATTTCCCACTTATGCTCGTGTACTGCTCCAGCCAAGAAACACCACTGGGAAATGTGGCAGCCATTGAGGCCCCATACACAGAACTCGCTATCCAGAGACAAAGTGAGTTCTTGTCAAAAAGTACCAGGAATAAAGATGAGACCAGGCTGCCGATGTTGCTCAGCACAATCATGGTTCCAGGCTGTAAACACTTAGCACAGAAGATTGCCAGGCCCCTGCAGGCTGCGAACGTCCCCCAGAAGATAGAGTTCAGCCCAGCTGCTTGGCTTTCCTCCATGCCAACGTGGGTGATTGCAAATGAGAAAACATAAGAGCCATAGGTGATCTCAGCTCCAACGTAAAAAAAGAAGAACATAAAAAGGAGGCAAAGTAGAGATTTGTGATACTTAGCTCTTCGAGCTCCCTGAGCAGACGCTGTTGACTTTTTGTGCCTTGAACTTTTCTTGAAAAACAGAGCAAACAGGAAGACAGAAACTATAAAAGTGTAAGTACCAATTGAAGCATAAGCCCACAGTAAGTTCAAGTCATCAGGTGCCGCGAACAGTAGGTCTGGGTTGGCTTCAAGTGATTGGTTGAGGCCTGGAAGGTGAAGGTCGAGCTCTGTGTGGTTATCAGCTGATGCTGTCATTGTTGTCCCCAGGGCCACTTTTGCCAGAATAGGAGTCAAAAATGCACCTAAGGCAAAATTGAAGTGTAAGGCCTGCATGTGTGGGGCTCCTTTGTCTCCCCATAAGGTCAAGATAAGGATGTTGGCACCTACCAATGAAAGATGGGGAAACTAAGTTAAAACAGTAACTTAGTAAAAAGCAAAACAAAAAAAAAAAGTATTTTTATTGTCAGAAGATAAGTCTGCATTATTCAGCAGCAGTTCTGTAATATTCTCAATCATGAAGCATTGTATCTGAGTCAATACTGTATATAAGGAACCTTAATCCACTGTCAATCCAATGCCAGCAGAAATCTCTACATTATAACATCTCATACACATACATAGAATGCTACAAGCTAGTAAACTATACTACTGGAGGCATGCATACTATCAAAGGCTTTTCATAAACCAGTGTTAACACAGAACTGGGAAGCAATATTCACAGAGCTATTCATTTGTAAGTATTTTAAAAATATATATTTATGAGGTAACATCTTATTAGGGTCGAATTTCCAAAGCTATGTGTTCTTGTGGAAACTTTAATATTATTTTATATATGCATAAAGCAGATACAAATATATAATCAGGAACCTGAATATTCTGTTGTACCTGTTATAGACCAGGAGAACACCTTAGAGGAACTGCCTTTACACTTTCCGAACAAGGTCAAAGACCAGAACATCTGATCACTGGCTTTTCTTTTTTTTTTTTGGTGGAACCAGGGATTAAACTCAGGCCCTTGCACTTGCCAGGCAAGTGTTTATTCCACTGAGCCATCTTCCTGGCCCCTGGTCACTGGCTTTTCTATAATCAGATTATTGTCTGATAAACATATATTTCTACCCTGTAAATTTAGCATCAAAGATAGACTAAGTACAAAAAATTTCTACAATCTATCAAATAACTTTAAAGCAGGGAAGGCAGGCCCAGAAAGCTAGACTTAGCAGTAAGCCATTATTACTCGATGTCTTTAGCAGGTTTTTAAAGATGTGATAACACAAGGAGAAGCTCTACTAGAGCAAGGCAGAACTTCTGAGAAAAGAACAGAAAAGAGAAATGAGGATAACAGGAAATACCATAGTTTTCTCTTACCTCAAAATACAGAGTATATGCGTATAATTAATATATATGAACATAATTTTTAAAAACTAGAGGACATTAAATTGTATAGTGGCTTCTGTACTTTTATGGGAAAATATTGGTTTAAAATTTACACCCTTAAATCATCATTTATACCCTTAAATAATCCTTATAAGAAGGATTATTCACCAAGAACAGTGTCCTTCCTTATCTCACTACTGTGAATCAATATTCTCCCATGCAATAACATTCTTTTTTTTTTAATTTTTTTTATTTTAGGGAAAGGGCTACAGGGTTTCAGGGTCTCACTACTAGATCAGACTCCTAGTGATCCACCTGTTTACAGCCTCCCAAGAGCTGGGATTACAAACACATGCCATAATGCCCAGTCTCAATTGCAGTCTCAGCTCGTCCTGGGAACGGGGCCACAACGGCAGGCCCAGGGATCAAAGCCCAGGCCCCTGTGCCTGCTTGCAGGTGCTTTAATCTGCTGAGCTATTTGGCTAGCCTGCAATAACATTCTTTCAGTTCACTTCATTGTTAGTGGCTCAAAAACTGGTACATTAGGCATAGCTACTAAAGGTTGCTTCTGACAGATTCAGTGAATCCGCATCAATGTAAGAGCAAGTGATTACTTTCTTCTACAAAGCTGTACTCCTAGAGATTAACATTGAAGATTCACTAACCTGTATCCAGAACACCAATTGCAGTGCCGAAGACGAACATCACGAGAATCAGTAAAACTGGGGTTTTGCAAAAGGGAATGAGATAAAGACCAACTGTGGTACCTAACAGCGACACACCTGAGAAGAAAAGATGAAACACCAGCTATAAAAACTGTATTAGTCAGAGTCATGTGACAAAAGTCAACATCATAAAATTTCTCAAAATGCAAAATAAGCTGCAGGTGCTACAAGTGGTTACTTCATCAAAATCTGGTAGAATCTCTATGGAATATAAAATATACATTACTAAGACATATATTTCTACTACTGCTAAGAATACATAAATTATAGCACATGGAAAAGTATTACAGCAAAAAGAAAAAGCAAAATGGATTGACATAGAATTTTCCCATTTAAAAATATAAAGTAATTTTTAGGTATAATGATGTAAAAAGAAAAACAGAAAATGTAATCAGTATAGTAGTTTGTAATAAAGCTAAATAAATCCCTTTGGGGAATAGGGTAGGAAACATAAGAAATACATCCTTTAGATCTATTTTTGCAAGAGAAATTATTTATGCATCAGCAATAAATTATTTCCCTTGCTTGCCAAGGAAGTTACTTTAAACACAGCAACTCATTCAAAACAAAATGTGCTTAAATTTTTGCTATGTTCCCAATGTAAGGTAGTCAGGGGTCAATACTGCATGAGGCAGTAAGGAGAAAAATGTAGCTCATGTCAGTTCATTCATGGTCCCTGCCCCTTTGTTTTCAGGCCAGAGGCTGTAGACTCTAGTAAGGTACCAGAAGCTCATTCTGATTTCTGTGGCCTGAGAAGATCTGCCTCCTACAGCCAGAGCTTTATGGGCCTCTAGTCTGTGAGCCTGGAGTGGTAGCTGAATATACAAAGGCCTGGAAGGCTAACACACACCTAACTGTCCAGGTGATAGCAGGGAAACCCAGCTTCCATGGAGATTACAGAACAATATCCATTCAGCTGTCAACCATTCTGTGGTTCAGGTTTTGCATATTCAAAGCCAATGTTAAAAGAAGCACATCAACAGTCACAAACAAGCCGGAATCAGTGTTTCCTTACCCAGTACTATAAAATGATTCATACAGTCAAGAAGAACACCACCAATCATAGAGCCACACAAATATCCAGACGCCCGGCCCACAAAAATTAAAGAAAGACTGCTGATATTTCTGTTTACATTCATTGCCAAATCTTGAAACGTTGGTCCCAGTATAGCAATACTCATGCCCTAAAAATTAAAAAGATAAAACCTATTTTACTCACAACCATTAAAATAATGTCTACATGGTAACTGGACTGTGCTATTAAAAATAAAAAAGATTAGGATGGATTACAACGTAATGTAGGGGCTTATTTTAGGTTCACAGTTGAGAAAAGACTGCTATTAATACTATACCACACCTATAGTCTTTCGATGTTTTTCTTTAGCCACAATTCTCAAGTTATATAAAAAAAAAAAACCACCCTAATTTTTCTGCCATTTGTTCCAATTCTGTTTAATTTTGGAATAGTACTTTAAAAGACTATTCTGCATTAGTAAAAAGGTAACAAAACTACTTTCATAATACTTGGCTCTATTTTGAAATACACTGCATGCACGAATAATAACAGGAATTTAGATGCTAAATTTTAATGAAGATAGTTTCCTACTTTGCATGCTGAAACAGCAATATTTCTGCTGCACATGAAGGTCCTTCCTCTAAATTACATACTGAAAATGTTTAGGGCACAAAACAATTTGAATGTCTCTGAATCTACTTTTTCAAAGAAAAACTAGTCAGCAAGACTAGTCATCAAAGCTTCCTTTAAAAAATTCCATATCCATGCACAGAATATTAAGCAAAAAATTTATCTACAACGATGTGTTAGAAGTAGGAGTTGGATAATTTTCAGACATTCTAAGAACTTTTTTTTTT